ATAGAAAGTACATTTTTATTAGAATTTTATGTATTCATTAAATAGTTAATTCATATGTTGCTAAAGAAGCAGAGGATTCCAAATCATATCTCTTTTGCATCATTTTTAGACTGACTCCCTTGTCTAGAATATTCAAAGTTGAGTCTTATTATTCTGATCTCTTGGCTTACTGTCTTCCATTCACTCATAAGTGCGCCTCACGATGTTTATCTGGGTTTCACTTTCGACACGTACAGAGTATATACGATGTATATAATGAGATCAACTGTAGGCTTAGGCATGTTCAAGAATTTACAACGCTTTTCTTAGTAACTTAAGATAACATCGCTATGTTTTATAAAACAATGAATATTGACTGATATTGTGTTTTAACTTACCATTCGTCTGCATCTCAAATACTGTCGACGGGATCGAAGGTGTTTTAATCTTCTTTCTGAAATGTATTAATCAAACTATAGTAGAATCACCTGGCTTTTAATAAATTCAGAATTAGTTTCGTGACCGAAATTCATTTATTATCAACATGTATCAACCTTGTGCTATATTAAACTTCTTACTCAAAAAACACATATTCAGTCTTCAGCGTTGAAATTACAGAGTGTGAAAATGTTTCATTTGACATACTTACGATTGCCTGAGACAAACAACAACTAATCCAATATTACAGCAAATTGAAATTGCCAGAAAAGTGCCAAGAAGTGCGTAACCAGTTATATTCTGAAATACATTCATTGTACCTTATTATAGCAGTTTTACATTTAGGGGTCATACTTTACTAAAGTGCGATAATAAAAATGTATATAACTCAAAGAAAATGTATAATTTTCATTTCAAGAAAACTCATTATTTTTTTATTTTTTTTTTTTTTTTCGTTTAAAGCTGTGGTTTTGACTTCATCAATGGACAATTAAAAATAATACTAAACATGGTGTACTTACTATACCGTTATCTCCAAGTCCATTTTCCACTCGTTTGTTGTTAGATGTGGCGTTCTCTAGTTACATAAAACAAAGTAAGACCGGTTTATTCAATACACATGTCTAAGCGAGATAAGGAAACGTCTTCTTTACTTTTTAAAGATTACTTTTACTACATGACGTTCCTATCCATCCATCTTTACATCCGGGAGTTACAAGCTGCAAAAAAATCAAAATTAAAAAAGAAAATAATCAAATGTACATTTGGACGATATTATGTACATTATAATGTTTTTAAACGGCCTATGTAGATAAACCGATACAGAGAGGACCAATCATACTCGTATGCAAATAAAAGAAAGTCACACAAATGAATAGCACAGTTTAAAATTGCTAACTGTCAATTTGGCAGGTTTCTTGCCTACATTTTATCCATGGCACGAAATTTTCCAGTTATAAGTTAAAATTATAACATGCTCCTGTGAAAATAGGCATTTAAATGTTTAAACAATATTGACCCTTGTGACTTTGAAAGTCCATTTCTGTCATATTAAAAGTGGGAACATGTACTTAACATTATCGATATGATAGTCATTTGACACCTAACATATGAAAAACATCAAGATTATAGACCATAAGAAGACGATTTCTAAATGAATTGGAAATCAAAGACATGGCAGATTCTTCTACATCTACCGCTTATCTCGATCTTATCCTACAAGGAAAGCAGCATGGGCAGCTTTCCACTAAGCTGTATGATAAACGTGATGACTTCAGTTTCCCTCATGTAAATTTTCCTATTCTGGATAACAACAACGTTGCATCCCCAACCTATGGTGCTTACATGTCGCCGTTGATTCGATATTCAAGGGCCTTTTTCCGTTTTGATGATTTCGTTGAGAAATATCATATTTCTTTGTGAAACTGGACGTGTTTGTTGTGCATTGCTTTGCTTGTTTGGTTCCGTTGTTACCTTGTTCCCACGTAACGTAACGAACGTAGCATTACTTACCTGAATTGACGAAGATTTATATGTCTGGTGTCGTCTTTATATCTTTCTTTTGTTTAAATTTTGCCCTAGTTTTATTGATTTTGAGTTATTTTGTTATTTTCTTGTTTTTATCCTCACCGTGATTTACATATGAAATAGAAAATATTTATAACTGAACTTAATAGATTGAGCAGTTATTGACTTTTGGCAAACGCTAAAGAATATCTTAAAAAAGAACATTTTTCAAAAATTGCACTAAAATTATAATCTATATGGGTGTAAAATGATTTATAACAGACTATCGACATTTGTAAGGTCTTCAAGGGAATTTTCAAAATGACGTGTAAATTGCGAAAAAGAACTGAATATGTATCATATTTTAAAAAAGAATCTAAAATTAAAGTAAAATTTTAAAAATTAATTTTGATCCAGCAGGAAGCTTTATTTAATTAGCATTGTTGTATCAACACGTCTTGATAAAAACTTACAAATGAACATTTTCATAAAAACTGTACAATCAGTTTCTACGTTATAACTGTTTTACAGTTTTTATTTATGACGACATGACATTCATATTTGTTTTTGTTTTTTGTTTTTTTTTTTTTTGACCTACTTGAAAATGTTACAAAGACTTTAGGTTATATATCATACTTTGCTAACTGTGAGCGTCTCTCTTACCAGTCAAAATATCAAGAGACCGTAGCAAAAAAATAGAAAAATAAGAAACATTACAAAAACAATAGGTTCCTTCACCATACGCTGAAAAACCCCTAAAAAGATACAATGGAGCCACATCTTCATAGGAAAAACACAATTTTGTTCGTGTCATTCATGTCGATGTCTTATATCCGTTTTTATTATTTCATTTTTTATACCAGTTTCAAAATCATATGAAAGTTTTGGCTGGTTCTTGCTGTGGTCACACGCTGCTCCTGTCCATCCGTCATTACATCCTTGGTTGTCACATATACCACTGATAGTGTTACATTCCCCAGTCTTACAGTGACATGTCCTTGTACAATCGGGACCATATTTTTTTTGAAGCGCACCCTACATATAATAGTAATTCAATCTATAGTTTTGTAATAACGACAATAGTAAGAGCAATGTCTGTTTTAAGATATAGAGTACTCAATAGATGATCTAATAATGCGATTTGGTGAACTAATTGCGTGAACACATTGATTGATCAAACGATTAATGGGTATGTCTGCAACTCTGAAATTATCTACCGTCTTTCCAGTAACTTCTATTAGTTTTAAACATTAGACCATAGTGGGATCTTTTACTTCCACCCTCATTTGATTTTTATTTGTGCGTTAATCGTTTAATTATTGTAAGAGTCAAACTACAAGACAGCTGATCAATCTCAAAATCAAACGGTTACAACTAGGAAACAATAGAATCCTACATTGGGAATTTGAAAGATCCATTCAGTGCTTCTCAAGAAATAGCTTTAATCAAAATTATTCAAGGAGTTGACGATGGACATAGGTATAAGGGCGATTTTGAAAGACTACCAGATGAAGGTGGTGGGCCAAACAACTAGTTTCATTCACATATTTGTGAACTCATGTGGTCGAGTTTTTCACGTAGGATTTTTTTTTTTTTTTTCCTAACAATGGTCTTTGAAACAGTTTTAGGGATAATTTCCTTTTTCTTAATTTGAAGTAATAAGAAATGGATATAAATAATTAATCAATATCTTATTCGTGATCAAATACAATCTTCACTAATTTATTGATTAAAACAGTATTATACAGTATAAACACAAAAACGTCTAACGTTTAAACATTAGTACGGTAGGGAAATCAAATTGACTAGTTTTATAAAGCTCCAATGCTAGTTTTAACTTATGACTTACCTGTGATAAAACTTATATTACATACAAAATATATGAACATTTTACCATGACTACATGTGTCTCCAGACCATCCCTCCCTACACCCAGGTGTAGTACATATTCCACTCCTCCTGTCACAGTCAGAGTTCACACAATGGCAAGTCTTGCTACAATCTCGTCCAAATGTATGACTGGTACACTCTATACCATGTCGTAAAACGGATATATTTCAGTAATTAATACATTTTTGTCGCAAAGATTGAAATAAAAGGGTGTGTTGTTCAGTTTACTTTAGCAGATTAAGAAAGATAACCAAACTTTTTAATGCGTGGTAGTTAAATAGTTACCTCGACTACACGAAGCTCCCGTCCATCCTTCCATACATCCTGGTATATTACATATTCCATTCTTCTTGTCACAATCAGAGTTAACACAATGACAGGTCTGGTGACAGTCTCGTCCAAACGTATGGTTTACACACTCTTTAAAACAATAAAACAAGAAATCACAAATACGTTAGCCATTATCTTCCCAATTGAAATATCTGTTATGCTTTTTGATGCTTTTCAAGATTTTTCAAGATACATCTTGTTAATATCTATTTTTCACTTAGCCAATAAAGCAAATGTATCTAGTGTGGAAAGGAAATTGACAACAAGTAGCCAACTAATATGAAAATTATTTTTTTTGACAACTGTACCTAATATATAATGCATTCTGGTAATTATGGAATAAGTAATTAAAACTTAAAGTAGGATACATTGGCTGTTCCTCTTTTTGTCTCTGATAAGTCAAAATTTCGTAATACAAATATTAAAAAAAAAACAACGAAAACAAAACAAAGAATGATATCAGTTTCAAAGACTGGTCTCCGTTGAACAGAGCTCGTAATTATGAATTTTCACCAGGCCTGGGTAAAAGAATACTTACAGAACAAGAGACCATGTGAATACTTTTGAATGCCAGAATTACCTCCACTACAAGAGTCTTTCCGCCATCCTTCTGTACATCCAGGTATATTACATATCCCACTTTTCCTGTCACAGTCAGAGTAAGCACAATGGCAGGTCTGGTTACAGTCTCGTCCGTATTTATAGTTGGCACATTCTGCATGATGAAATTATATAAGAGGGAAAATACACATTCTATTCTAAAATTGTCTAATGTATGAAAAATACGAAATCCGTCTCAAATGACGAACAGATGTATGATGCAGTTTTTTTTAATGTATCCCACTCTAAATTATGAAAAGACACACAATAGTCCACTTGTGTGTCTTTTGTACACTCTTGTGATTAAAACGATGTTGCAATTATCGTACATGTGGGCACACATACGGAATAGCTGGTTTCATTTATCACCTGGCAACAAAACATTTAAGATAAGATAAGTTTATTTCCGGTTCAGGACATGAAGATACTCGCACTAAAATGTTTTTCCGAGTAGGATATTTAATATTTGGTCGTAATCACAGATTTACTTAACATGATTGTTTTTGCATTTTGATGAGTAATATCCCATTATATTCACAACGGATTGAACGAACAAAAAACAAAACCAAAACAACATCAACTGCGATTGTTAATATTTCCTACCAAACACATCTTCCAATTGCACAGGAAATATGCCGTGTTCCAATTGTCTTTATAATCTTCATCAAACCAACATCTGTTATATTTTGCATTGTACGTTTATCAGGTAGCTACCGAAATATTGTCAAGATTTATTTAAAAGCAACAAAGAAAATACCGACATGACTCAATTCGATGAAACATGGACAAAATATATAGCTAGAAAATATATATGTTTACGTGAATTAGACAAAGTGTTTGGAAAGGAAAGAGTCGTCTTCGCCGTCGACACCCAAGATGTCAATCTTAGTATGGCCAAGAAAGTAAGGCTATGTTCCCAAAAAGAACAAGGATATCAATGTAAACTCCAGTCAGACTCACAAAAGACTTCATATAATACATGATATAGAATGTTTGCCAATGAAATCGTAACCGTAAAACTCCACCAAACCTTACTATTCACCAACTTGTATCTCTCGAAATAATTCTTTAATTTCAATTCGTGTCAGATGATATTCCAATTCGAGTGGCATGTGATTTTAAACACTTACCATGATGTTAGGTTACCAATATGAAACACAACGTTTGAACAACTAGATATGTAGCAACTGAGTGCTATCAAAATTAATTCTTATTCTGTATGGGAATCTAGTATGTGGAAGCTCTGTTTCTTTATCATTGAATAACAAGTAGTATGGAATTGCAGTGCTGAAGTGTGATATACTGGTGTTCCGTCTTCGGAAGTAATGGATAATGAAAAGATAGTGCTACCTTTGAAACTAGGAATCAGGTAAGTTCTTCTCGAAAGCAGGGATTATATAAGTGTAAGCAGCCAATTGTCCATTATCGCCCGCCTGTTTGAGGAAACAATTACACATTTTGTATGCAAGTCACAGAGGTTCGTCATAGTATCAGAAACAGGAAATTTCAAACTTGACTTTTGTTTTCATCTAAGAATTTTACATAACTTTCCTTTATTATCAAAATGATTGACAAAATGATAAACGAAACAAAACACATCATACAATGTTTATACACTAAAGCTTAAAGCAGGGTATACAATGGTGACATATAAGCAGGGACGTGGTTTTATTGAGGTTGATTAGTAAATGATACCTTGACTGCAATTACTTCCCACCCAACCTTCCGTACATCCAGGTATTTTACATATCCCACTCCTCACATCACAGTCAGAGTTTTCACAATGACAGGTCTGTTTACAGTCTCTTCCATATGTGTTGTTTACACACCCTGTAATACAATTTCAGATACAACTCGATGAAAATACTACGTCTATTTTATCAGTGTTGTTCTGTAGTATTTCATACTGTATTAATATCATCGAAACTCGTCCGGTTTTTATTTTAGTTTTTTTCATGGGTATTTATTGTCTGCATATAACCATGGATGTACTAAATATACCTTCCCTCTCGTTCCGATTACTAATATCCAAACATATTCACTGCGGAATGAAAAAAACAAATACTATTAACTGCGATTGATATTATTTCCATTCAAACAGCTTCAAATTGCACAGGAACTAATATTTTCGAATCCTTTATAATCTTCACCAAACCAACATGTTTCTAAAAATCCTTTATTCTTAGTCTATCAATAAGCTCTTGTCAGCTTTGTCTAAAAGCAACAAAGAAAATATCAATTTGACTACCAATGCGATGAAATTAGGACAAAATAGATAATATAAAGATACATATGTATACATGAATTGGGTGTTTGGAAGGGGAAAGCTTTTTTGGATTACCGGACCCGCGATATTAATCTTAGTTCCGCCAAATAAGTAATATGATCCCAAAAGAACAAGAATATCAATGGACCTTCAGTCACACTCACGAGCACCAAACATATCCAACTTCATATTTTACATAATTATATATAGTTGCCAATGAAATCGTTTTGACCACGTAAAATATCTCTTATGGCCTTCAACCTGTATCTCCCGAAACAGTTCTTAAATTTCAATTTGTGTTATAGAATATTTCAATTCGAGTGGCATGATGATTCTAAATACTTAACATGATATTAGGTCGCCGGTATGACAAACAACGTTTGAACAACTAGAAATGTGGCAATCAAGTGTTATAAGTATGTATTCCTATTCTGTTTGGAAATCTGTTATCAATGAGGAAGTTTTGTTTCCTTATCCTTAACTAGTAGTATGGTATTGTAATGCTGAAGTGTGATAAACTGGTGTTACGTCATTGGAATTAATGGATAATGTGTTGGTAGTGCTACCTTGGTAACAAGGAATCAGGTTAGTTCTTCTAGAAAGCAGGGATTATATAAGTGTAAGCAGGCAAGGGTCATGTTATCACCCGCCTGTTTGAGGAAACAATGGCATTTTTGCATGCAAATCACTGAGAGTCGTCGTAGTATCAGAATCAGGAAATTTAAACCTGACTTTTGTTTTCATCTGAGAATATTACATATTTTTTCTTTATTATCACATTTACAGAACGATAAACAACACAAAACACATCATCCAATGTTTATACTAAAAAGCTTAAAACAGGGTATACAATGATGACATATAAGCAGGGACGTGGTTTTATTGGGGTTGATTAGTAAATGATACCTTGACTGCAATTACTTCCCACCCAACCTTCCGTACATCCAGGTATTTTACATATCCCACTCCTCACATCACAGTCAGAGTTTTCACAATGACAGGTCTGTTTACAGTCTCTTCCATATGTGTTGTTTACACACCCTGTAATACAATTTCAGATACAACTCGATGAAAATACTACGTCTATTTTATCAGTGTTGTTCTGTAGTATTTCATACTGTATTAATATCATCGAAACTCGTCCGGTTTTTATTTTAGTTTTTTTCATGGGTATTTATTGTCTGCATATAACCATGGATGTACTAAATATATCTTCCCTCTCGTTCCGATTACTAATATCCAAACATATTCACTGCGGAATGAAAAAAACAAATACTATTAACTGCGATTGATATTATTTCCATTCAAACAGCTTCAAATTGCACAGGAACTAATATTTTCGAATCCTTTATAATCTTCATCAAACCAACATGTTTCTAAAAATCCTTTATTCTTAGTCTATCAATAAGCTCTTGTCAGCTTTGTCTAAAAGCAACAAAGAAAATATCAATTTGACTACCAATGCGATGAAATTAGGACAAAATAGATAATATAAAGATACATATGTATACATGAATTGGGTGTTTGGAAAGGGAAAGCTTTTTTGGATTACCGGACCCGCGATATTAATCTTAGTTCCGCCAAATAAGTAATATGATCCCAAAAGAACAAGAATATCAATGGACCTTCAGTCACACTCACGAGCACCAAACATATCCAACTTCATATTTTACATAATTATATATAGTTGCCAATGAAATCGTTTTGACCACGTAAAATATCTCTTATGGCCTTCAACCTGTATCTCCCGAAACAGTTCTTAAATTTCAATTTGTGTTATAGAATATTTCAATTCGAGTGGCATGATGATTCTAAATACTTAACATGATATTAGGTCGCCGGTATGACAAACAACGTTTGAACAACTAGAAATGTGGCAATCAAGTGTTATAAGTATGTATTCCTATTCTGTTTGGAAATCTGTTATCAATGAGGAAGTTTTGTTTCCTTATCCTTAACTAGTAGTATGGTATTGTAATGCTGAAGTGTGATAAACTGGTGTTACGTCATTGGAATTAATGGATAATGTGTTGGTAGTGCTACCTTGGTAACAAGGAATCAGGTTAGTTCTTCTAGAAAGCAGGGATTATATAAGTGTAAGCAGGCAAGGGTCATGTTATCACCCGCCTGTTTGAGGAAACAATGGCATTTTTGCATGCAAATCACTGAGAGTCGTCGTAGTATCAGAATCAGGAAATTTAAACCTGACTTTTGTTTTCATCTGAGAATATTACATATTTTTTCTTTATTATCACATTTACAGAACGATAAACAACACAAAACACATCATCCAATGTTTATACTAAAAAGCTTAAAACAGGGTATACAATGATGACATATAAGCAGGGACGTGGTTTTATTGGGGTTGATTAGTAAATGATACCTTGACTGCAATTACTTCCCACCCAACCTTCCGTACATCCAGGTATTTTACATATCCCACTCCTCACATCACAGTCAGAGTTTTCACAATGACAGGTCTGTTTACAGTCTCTTCCATATGTGTTGTTTACACACCCTGTAATACAATTTCAGATACAACTCGATGAAAATACTACGTCTATTTTATCAGTGTTGTTCTGTAGTATTTCATACTGTATTAATATCATCGAAACTCGTCCGGTTTTTATTTTAGTTTTTTTCATGGGTATTTATTGTCTGCATATAACCATGGATGTACTAAATATATCTTCCCTCTCGTTCCGATTACTAATATCCAAACATATTCACTGCGGAATGAAAAAAACAAATACTATTAACTGCGATTGATATTATTTCCATTCAAACAGCTTCAAATTGCACAGGAACTAATATTTTCGAATCCTTTATAATCTTCATCAAACCAACATGTTTCTAAAAATCCTTTATTCTTAGTCTATCAATAAGCTCTTGTCAGCTTTGTCTAAAAGCAACAAAGAAAATATCAATTTGACTACCAATGCGATGAAATTAGGACAAAATAGATAATATAAAGATACATATGTATACATGAATTGGGTGTTTGGAAAGGGAAAGCTTTTTTGGATTACCGGACCCGCGATATTAATCTTAGTTCCGCCAAATAAGTAATATGATCCCAAAAGAACAAGAATATCAATGGACCTTCAGTCACACTCACGAGCACCAAACATATCCAACTTCATATTTTACATAATTATATATAGTTGCCAATGAAATCGTTTTGACCACGTAAAATATCTCTTATGGCCTTCAACCTGTATCTCCCGAAACAGTTCTTAAATTTCAATTTGTGTTATAGAATATTTCAATTCGAGTGGCATGATGATTCTAAATACTTAACATGATATTAGGTCGCCGGTATGACAAACAACGTTTGAACAACTAGAAATGTGGCAATCAAGTGTTATAAGTATGTATTCCTATTCTGTTTGGAAATCTGTTATCAATGAGGAAGTTTTGTTTCCTTATCCTTAACTAGTAGTATGGTATTGTAATGCTGAAGTGTGATAAACTGGTGTTACGTCATTGGAATTAATGGATAATGTGTTGGTAGTGCTACCTTGGTAACAAGGAATCAGGTTAGTTCTTCTAGAAAGCAGGGATTATATAAGTGTAAGCAGGCAAGGGTCATGTTATCACCCGCCTGTTTGAGGAAACAATGGCATTTTTGCATGCAAATCACTGAGAGTCGTCGTAGTATCAGAATCAGGAAATTTAAACCTGACTTTTGTTTTCATCTGAGAATATTACATATTTTTTCTTTATTATCACATTTACAGAACGATAAACAACACAAAACACATCATCCAATGTTTATACTAAAAAGCTTAAAACAGGGTATACAATGATGACATATAAGCAGGGACGTGGTTTTATTGGGGTTGATTAGTAAATGATACCTTGACTGCAATTACTTCCCACCCAACCTTCCGTACATCCAGGTATTTTACATATCCCACTCCTCACATCACAGTCAGAGTTTTCACAATGACAGGTCTGTTTACAGTCTCTTCCATATGTGTTGTTTACACACCCTGTAATACAATTTCAGATACAACTCGATGAAAATACTACGTCTATTTTATCAGTGTTGTTCTGTAGTATTTCATACTGTATTAATATCATCGAAACTCGTCCGGTTTTTATTTTAGTTTTTTTCATGGGTATTTATTGTCTGCATATAACCATGGATGTACTAAATATATCTTCCCTCTCGTTCCGATTACTAATATCCAAACATATTCACTGCGGAATGAAAAAAACAAATACTATTAACTGCGATTGATATTATTTCCATTCAAACAGCTTCAAATTGCACAGGAACTAATATTTTCGAATCCTTTATAATCTTCATCAAACCAACATGTTTCTAAAAATCCTTTATTCTTAGTCTATCAATAAGCTCTTGTCAGCTTTGTCTAAAAGCAACAAAGAAAATATCAATTTGACTACCAATGCGATGAAATTAGGACAAAATAGATAATATAAAGATACATATGTATACATGAATTGGGTGTTTGGAAAGGGAAAGCTTTTTTGGATTACCGGACCCGCGATATTAATCTTAGTTCCGCCAAATAAGTAATATGATCCCAAAAGAACAAGAATATCAATGGACCTTCAGTCACACTCACGAGCACCAAACATATCCAACTTCATATTTTACATAATTATATATAGTTGCCAATGAAATCGTTTTGACCACGTAAAATATCTCTTATGGCCTTCAACCTGTATCTCCCGAAACAGTTCTTAAATTTCAATTTGTGTTATAGAATATTTCAATTCGAGTGGCATGATGATTCTAAATACTTAACATGATATTAGGTCGCCGGTATGACAAACAACGTTTGAACAACTAGAAATGTGGCAATCAAGTGTTATAAGTATGTATTCCTATTCTGTTTGGAAATCTGTTATCAATGAGGAAGTTTTGTTTCCTTATCCTTAACTAGTAGTATGGTATTGTAATGCTGAAGTGTGATAAACTGGTGTTACGTCATTGGAATTAATGGATAATGTGTTGGTAGTGCTACCTTGGTAACAAGGAATCAGGTTAGTTCTTCTAGAAAGCAGGGATTATATAAGTGTAAGCAGGCAAGGGTCATGTTATCACCCGCCTGTTTGAGGAAACAATGGCATTTTTGCATGCAAATCACTGAGAGTCGTCGTAGTATCAGAATCAGGAAATTTAAACCTGACTTTTGTTTTCATCTGAGAATATTACATATTTTTTCTTTATTATCACATTTACAGAACGATAAACAACACAAAACACATCATCCAATGTTTATACTAAAAAGCTTAAAACAGGGTATACAATGATGACATATAAGCAGGGACGTGGTTTTATTGGGGTTGATTAGTAAATGATACCTTGACTGCAATTACTTCCCACCCAACCTTCCGTACATCCAGGTATTTTACATATCCCACTCCTCACATCACAGTCAGAGTTTTCACAATGACAGGTCTGTTTACAGTCTCTTCCATATGTGTTGTTTACACACCCTGTAATACAATTTCAGATACAACTCGATGAAAATACTACGTCTATTTTATCAGTGTTGTTCTGTAGTATTTCATACTGTATTAATATCATCGAAACTCGTCCGGTTTTTATTTTAGTTTTTTTCATGGGTATTTATTGTCTGCATATAACCATGGATGTACTAAATATATCTTCCCTCTCGTTCCGATTACTAATATCCAAACATATTCACTGCGGAATGAAAAAAACAAATACTATTAACTGCGATTGATATTATTTCCATTCAAACAGCTTCAAATTGCACAGGAACTAATATTTTCGAATCCTTTATAATCTTCATCAAACCAACATGTTTCTAAAAATCCTTTATTCTTAGTCTATCAATAAGCTCTTGTCAGCTTTGTCTAAAAGCAACAAAGAAAATATCAATTTGACTACCAATGCGATGAAATTAGGACAAAATAGATAATATAAAGATACATATGTATACATGAATTGGGTGTTTGGAAAGGGAAAGCTTTTTTGGATTACCGGACCCGCGATATTAATCTTAGTTCCGCCAAATAAGTAATATGATCCCAAAAGAACAAGAATATCAATGGACCTTCAGTCACACTCACGAGCACCAAACATATCCAACTTCATATTTTACATAATTATATATAGTTGCCAATGAAATCGTTTTGACCACGTAAAATATCTCTTATGGCCTTCAACCTGTATCTCCCGAAACAGTTCTTAAATTTCAATTTGTGTTATAGAATATTTCAATTCGAGTGGCATGATGATTCTAAATACTTAACATGATATTAGGTCGCCGGTATGACAAACAACGTTTGAACAACTAGAAATGTGGCAATCAAGTGTTATAAGTATGTATTCCTATTCTGTTTGGAAATCTGTTATCAATGAGGAAGTTTTGTTTCCTTATCCTTAACTAGTAGTATGGTATTGTAATGCTGAAGTGTGATAAACTGGTGTTACGTCATTGGAATTAATGGATAATGTGTTGGTAGTGCTACCTTGGTAACAAGGAATCAGGTTAGTTCTTCTAGAAAGCAGGGATTATATAAGTGTAAGCAGGCAAGGGTCATGTTATCACCCGCCTGTTTGAGGAAACAATGGCATTTTTGCATGCAAATCACTGAGAGTCGTCGTAGTATCAGAATCAGGAAATTTAAACCTGACTTTTGTTTTCATCTGAGAATATTACATATTTTTTCTTTATTATCACATTTACAGAACGATAAACAACACAAAACACATCATCCAATGTTTATACTAAAAAGCTTAAAACAGGGTATACAATGATGACATATAAGCAGGGACGTGGTTTTATTGAGGTTGATTAGTAAATGATACCTTGACTGCAATTACTTCCCACCCAACCTTCCGTACATCCAGGTATTTTACATATCCCACTCCTCACATCACAGTCAGAGTTTTCACAATGACAGGTCTGTTTACAGTCTCTTCCATATGTGTTGTTTACACACCCTGTAATACAATTTCAGATACAACTCGATGAAAATACTACGTCTATTTTATCAGTGTTGTTCTGTAGTATTTCATACTGTATTAATATCATCGAAACTCGTCCGGTTTTTATTTTAGTTTTTTTCATGGGTATTTATTGTCTGCATATAACCATGGATGTACTAAATATATCTTCCCTCTCGTTCCGATTACTAATATCCAAACATATTCACTGCGGAATGAAAAAAACAAATACTATTAACTGCGATTGATATTATTTCCATTCAAACAGCTTCAAATTGCACAGGAACTAATATTTTCGAATCCTTTATAATCTTCATCAAACCAACATGTTTCTAAAAATCCTTTATTCTTAGTCTATCAATAAGCTCTTGTCAGCTTTGTCTAAAAGCAACAAAGAAAATATCAATTTGACTACCAATGCGATGAAATTAGGACAAAATAGATAATATAAAGATACATATGTATACATGAATTGGGTGTTTGGAAAGGGAAAGTTTTTTTGGATTACCGGACCCGCGATATTAATCTTAGTTCCGCCAAATAAGTAATATGATCCCAAAAGAACAAGAATATCAATGGACCTTCAGTCACACTCACGAGCACCAAACATATCCAACTTCATATTTTACATAATTATATATAGTTGCCAATGAAATCGTTTTGACCACGTAAAATATCTCTTATGGCCTTCAACCTGTATCTCCCGAAACAGTTCTTAAATTTCAATTTGTGTTATAGAATATTTCAATTCGAGTGGCATGATGATTCTAAATACTTAACATGATATTAGGTCGCCGGTATGACAAACAACGTTTGAACAACTAGAAATGTGGCAATCAAGTGTTATAAGTATGTATTCCTATTCTGTTTGGAAATCTGTTATCAATGAGGAAGTTTTGTTTCCTTATCCTTAACTAGTAGTATGGTATTGTAATGCTGAAGTGTGATAAACTGGTGTTACGTCATTGGAATTAATGGATAATGTGTTGGTAGTGCTACCTTGGTAACAAGGAATCAGGTTAGTTCTTCTAGAAAGCAGGGATTATATAAGTGTAAGCAGGCAAGGGTCATGTTATCACCCGCCTGTTTGAGGAAACAATGGCATTTTTGCATGCAAATCACTGAGAGTCGTCGTAGTATCAGAATCAGGAAATTTAAACCTGACTTTTGTTTTCATCTGAGAATATTACATATTTTTTCTTTATTATCACATTTACAGAACGATAAACAACACAAAACACATCATCCAATGTTTATACTAAAAAGCTTAAAACAGGGTATACAATGATGACATATAAGCAGGGACGTGGTTTTATTGGGGTTGATTAGTAAATGATACCTTGACTGCAATTACTTCCCACCCAACCTTCCGTACATCCAGGTATTTTACATATCCCACTCCTCACATCACAGTCAGAGTTTTCACAATGACAGGTCTGTTTACAGTCTCTTCCATATGTGTTGTTTACACACCCTGTAATACAATTTCAGATACAACTCGATGAAAATACTACGTCTATTTTATCAGTGTTGTTCTGTAGTATTTCATACTGTATTAATATCATCGAAACTCGTCCGGTTTTTATTTTAGTTTTTTTCATGGGTATTTATTGTCTGCATATAACCATGGATGTACTAAATATATCTTCCCTCTCGTTCCGATTACTAATATCCAAACATATTCACTGCGGAATGAAAAAAACAAATACTATTAACTGCGATTGATATTATTTCCATTCAAACAGCTTCAAATTGCACAGGAACTAATATTTTCGAATCCTTTATAATCTTCATCAAACCAACATGTTTCTAAAAATCCTTTATTCTTAGTCTATCAATAAGCTCTTGTCAGCTTTGTCTAAAAGCAACAAAGAAAATATCAATTTGACTACCAATGCGATGAAATTAGGACAAAATAGATAATATAAAGATACATATGTATACATGAATTGGGTGTTTGGAAAGGGAAAGCTTTTTTGGATTACCGGACCCGCGATATTAATCTTAGTTCCGCCAAATAAGTAATATGATCCCAAAAGAACAAGAATATCAATGGACCTTCAGTCACACTCACGAGCACCAAACATATCCAACTTCATATTTTACATAATTATATATAGTTGCCAATGAAATCGTTTTGACCACGTAAAATATCTCTTATGGCCTTCAACCTGTATCTCCCGAAACAGTTCTTAAATTTCAATTTGTGTTATAGAATATTTCAATTCGAGTGGCATGATGATTCTAAATACTTAACATGATATTAGGTCGCCGGTATGACAAACAACGTTTGAACAACTAGAAATGTGGCAATCAAGTGTTATAAGTATGTATTCCTATTCTGTTTGGAAATCTGTTATCAATGAGGAAGTTTTGTTTCCTTATCCTTAACTAGTAGTATGGTATTGTAATGCTGAAGTGTGATAAACTGGTGTTACGTCATTGGAATTAATGGATAATGTGTTGGTAGTGCTACCTTGGTAACAAGGAATCAGGTTAGTTCTTCTAGAAAGCAGGGATTATATAAGTGTAAGCAGGCAAGGGTCATGTTATCACCCGCCTGTTTGAGGAAACAATGGCATTTTTGCATGCAAATCACTGAGAGTCGTCGTAGTATCAGAATCAGGAAATTTAAACCTGACTTTTGTTTTCATCTGAGAATATTACATATTTTTTCTTTATTATCACATTTACAGAACGATAAACAACACAAAACACATCATCCAATGTTTATACTAAAAAGCTTAAAACAGGGTATACAATGATGACATATAAGCAGGGACGTGGTTTTATTGGGGTTGATTAGTAAATGATACCTTGACTGCAATTACTTCCCACCCAACCTTCCGTACATCCAGGTATTTTACATATCCCACTCCTCACATCACAGTCAGAGTTTTCACAATGACAGGTCTGTTTACAGTCTCTTCCATATGTGTTGTTTACACACCCTGTAATACAATTTCAGATACAACTCGATGAAAATACTACATCTATTTTATCAGTGTTGTTCTGTAGTATTTCATACTGTATTAATATCATCGAAACTCGTCCGGTTTTTATTTTAGTTTTTTTCATGGGTATTTATTGTCTGCATATAACCATGGATGTACTAAATATATCTTCCCTCTCGTTCCGATTACTAATATCCAAACATATTCACTGCGGAATGAAAAAAACAAATACTATTAACTGCGATTGATATTATTTCCATTCAAACAGCTTCAAATTGCACAGGAACTAATATTTTCGAATCCTTTATAATCTTCATCAAACCAACATGTTTCTAAAAATCCTTTATTCTTAGTCTATCAATAAGCTCTTGTCAGCTTTGTCTAAAAGCAACAAAGAAAATATCAATTTGACTACCAATGCGATGAAATTAGGACAAAATAGATAATATAAAGATACATATGTATACATGAATTGGGTGTTTGGAAAGGGAAAGCTTTTTTGGATTACCGGACCCGCGATATTAATCTTAGTTCCGCCAAATAAGTAATATGATCCCAAAAGAACAAGAATATCAATGGACCTTCAGTCACACTCACGAGCACCAAACATATCCAACTTCATATTTTACATAATTATATATAGTTGCCAATGAAATCGTTTTGACCACGTAAAATATCTCTTATGGCCTTCAACCTGTATCTCCCGAAACAGTTCTTAAATTTCAATTTGTGTTATAGAATATTTCAATTCGAGTGGCATGATGATTCTAAATACTTAACATGATATTAGGTCGCCGGTATGACAAACAACGTTTGAACAACTAGAAATGTGGCAATCAAGTGTTATAAGTATGTATTCCTATTCTGTTTGGAAATCTGTTATCAATGAGGAAGTTTTGTTTCCTTATCCTTAACTAGTAGTATGGTATTGTAATGCTGAAGTGTGATAAACTGGTGTTACGTCATTGGAATTAATGGATAATGTGTTGGTAGTGCTACCTTGGTAACAAGGAATCAGGTTAGTTCTTCTAGAAAGCAGGGATTATATAAGTGTAAGCAGGCAAGGGTCATGTTATCACCCGCCTGTTTGAGGAAACAATGGCATTTTTGCATGCAAATCACTGAGAGTCGTCGTAGTATCAGAATCAGGAAATTTAAACCTGACTTTTGTTTTCATCTGAGAATATTACATATTTTTTCTTTATTATCACATTTACAGAACGATAAACAACACAAAACACATCATCCAATGTTTATACTAAAAAGCTTAAAACAGGGTATACAATGATGACATATAAGCAGGGACGTGGTTTTATTGGGGTTGATTAGTAAATGATACCTTGACTGCAATTACTTCCCACCCAACCTTCCGTACATCCAGGTATTTTACATATCCCACTCCTCACATCACAGTCAGAGTTTTCACAATGACAGGTCTGTTTACAGTCTCTTCCATATGTGTTGTTTACACACCCTGTAATACAATTTCAGATACAACTCGATGAAAATACTACGTCTATTTTATCAGTGTTGTTCTGTAGTATTTCATACTGTATTAATATCATCGAAACTCGTCCGGTTTTTATTTTAGTTTTTTTCATGGGTATTTATTGTCTGCATATAACCATGGATGTACTAAATATATCTTCCCTCTCGTTCCGATTACTAATATCCAAACATATTCACTGCGGAATGAAAAAAACAAATACTATTAACTGCGATTGATATTATTTCCATTCAAACAGCTTCAAATTGCACAGGAACTAATATTTTCGAATCCTTTATAATCTTCATCAAACCAACATGTTTCTAAAAATCCTTTATTCTTAGTCTATCAATAAGCTCTTGTCAGCTTTGTCTAAAAGCAACAAAGAAAATATCAATTTGACTACCAATGCGATGAAATTAGGACAAAATAGATAATATAAAGATACATATGTATACATGAATTGGGTGTTTGGAAAGGGAAAGCTTTTTTGGATTACCGGACCCGCGATATTAATCTTAGTTCCGCCAAATAAGTAATATGATCCCAAAAGAACAAGAATATCAATGGACCTTCAGTCACACTCACGAGCACCAAACATATCCAACTTCATATTTTACATAATTATATATAGTTGCCAATGAAATCGTTTTGACCACGTAAAATATCTCTTATGGCCTTCAACCTGTATCTCCCGAAACAGTTCTTAAATTTCAATTTGTGTTATAGAATATTTCAATTCGAGTGGCATGATGATTCTAAATACTTAACATGATATTAGGTCGCCGGTATGACAAACAACGTTTGAACAACTAGAAATGTGGCAATCAAGTGTTATAAGTATGTATTCCTATTCTGTTTGGAAATCTGTTATCAATGAGGAAGTTTTGTTTCCTTATCCTTAACTAGTAGTATGGTATTGTAATGCTGAAGTGTGATAAACTGGTGTTACGTCATTGGAATTAATGGATAATGTGTTGGTAGTGCTACCTTGGTAACAAGGAATCAGGTTAGTTCTTCTAGAAAGCAGGGATTATATAAGTGTAAGCAGGCAAGGGTCATGTTATCACCCGCCTGTTTGAGGAAACAATGGCATTTTTGCATGCAAATCACTGAGAGTCGTCGTAGTATCAGAATCAGGAAATTTAAACCTGACTTTTGTTTTCATCTGAGAATATTACATATTTTTTCTTTATTATCACATTTACAGAACGATAAACAACACAAAACACATCATCCAATGTTTATACTAAAAAGCTTAAAACAGGGTATACAATGATGACATATAAGCAGGGACGTGGTTTTATTGAGGTTGATTAGTAAATGATACCTTGACTGCAATTACTTCCCACCCAACCTTCCGTACATCCAGGTATTTTACATATCCCACTCCTCACATCACAGTCAGAGTTTTCACAATGACAGGTCTGTTTACAGTCTCTTCCATATGTGTTGTTTACACACCCTGTAATACAATTTCAGATACAACTCGATGAAAATACTACGTCTATTTTATCAGTGTTGTTCTGTAGTATTTCATACTGTATTAATATCATCGAAACTCGTCCGGTTTTTATCTTAGTTTTTTTCATGGGTATTTATTGTCTGCATATAATCATGGATGTACTAAATATATCTTCCCTCTCGTTCCGATTACTAATATCCAAACATATTCACTGCGGAATGAAAAAAAAGAAAAACTATTAACTGCGATTGATATTATTTCCATTCAAACATCTTCAAATTGCACAGGAACTATAATATTTTCGAATCCTTTATAATCTTCATCAAACCAACATGTTTCTAAAAATCCTTTATTCTTAGTCTATCAATAAGCTCTTGCCAGCTTTGTCTAAAAGCAACAAAGAAAATATCAAGTTGACTACCAATGCGATGCAATTAGGACAAAATAGATAATATAAAGATACATATGTATACATGAATTGGGTGTTTGGAAGGGGAAAGCTTTTTTTTGGATTACCGGACCCGCGATATTAATCCTAGTTCCGCCAAATAAGTAATATGATCCCAAAAGAACAAGAATATCAATGGACCTTCAGTCACACTCACGAGCACCAAACATATCCAACTTCATATTTTACATATAATTATATATAGTTGCCAATGAAATCGTTTTGACCACGTAAAATATCTCTTATGGCCTTCAACCTGTATCTCCCGAAACAGTTCTTAAATTTCAATTTGTGTTATAGAATATTCCAATTCGAGTGGCATGATGATTCTAAATACTTAACATGATATTAGGTCGCCGGATAAACTGGTGTTACGTCTTTGGGAGTAAAGGATAATGTGTAGGTAGTGCTTCCTTAGTAACCAGGAATTATGAACAAAGGATTTGATTGTATAAGCATAAACATTCAAAAGTCATGTTTTCGCATGACTGTCAGTGGAAACAATGAACATTTTGTATGCAAGTCGTTGAAAATGGTTCCTAACATCGGAACTGAACTGTATACCACAAGCAATAATATCATTTAAAACAGTTACAGTTATATTTGTAAATTACTCCTCGCTTTGATCACTGGAAAAATAACTGAATACGTCAAAGTAGTTAGATTCCTCATTTGCATACGCAATAGCATATTTTGTAAGCAAATTGTTGAGACATCGGAATTAAGGAATGCATAATTGAGGCACGTATACATCTAATGAATCTGCAAAATTATTGTTTATTCCACCCTAATAATGGAATGGTTTTAAACAAAACAATCCATTACGCACTATTGCCTTAAAGCTGAATGTTACATGATGTCATTTATTATATAAGGGGAAGCGTGTTTTTCCTAGGATAAGATCAGTAGCGAATACATATGTACCTTGACTGCAATTACTGCCTATTCAACCTTCCGTACATCCAGTTATATAACTTATCCCACTCCTCCTGTCACAGTCAAAGTTAACAAAATGACAGGTCTGGTTACAGTCTCGTCCGAAGGTATGGTTCACACACTCTATCATACAATGCTAAATACAATGTTCTATTAATATTCTATCATTTCGTTATTTTGTAATCCACATGACTCCAAATGGATATCAGCAGTAAGTTGGACATTCAACATGAAACAGTTGCCGATATTTGCTCCAGAAGCTCCATACACTGCCTCTCGTACTTTATAAATAATAAAGTTTTATTGTCGTGTGTAAAAAATATGGTTAAGACATTCTACGAAAATTTTATCATGCACGCACACACATTCAAACACTATACAAATCTGACAAATGATAAACTCAATTGAGTAAGTCTGTCCGACGTAAACTTTACCTACCTTGAGATTTGTCTCAGTAGGTGTGTTACACTTCCTTAACAAGGACTTTAATAACAATGAACAGAGAACAATAACAAGTAAATTACCTGCAATTTAACAAAATTGTATTTCAAACAAACATTCTATGAAACAACAGAAAACTATGAGCAAATCCCCTGAATAAGTATATGAAGAAGACAGGGTGCTCTGAAAGGGAAAATGTCTCCTAATTCGTTGACAACAACTACCTTGTAAATTCTTGTCAATCCACGTAAATTGCATCACGATCCCACGATGAGAACAAGATAAATAAAAAAGAAACAGAAACCACCAGAAACACAAACGAGCATTGAAACCATTATGACTACCATACATCTTGAGAGAATCTTCATCGATCTTACATCTCCAAACCCTGTGATTTGGGTTATTGCATCGTTCGTTTATTCAATTTATTAAGATAGGAAAACATGTTCATAAAGACTTTAATTCACTACCAGGACTGCATTTACTTCCCACCCAACCTTCCGTACATCCATGTATGGTACATGTCCCACTCCTGTCACAGTCAGAGTAGGCATAGTGACAGATCTGGTTACAGTCTCGTCCAAACATTTTGCCGATACACGCTGTTATATGAAGTACAGATAACAGAGAAATAAATAAAAAATAAAACTTATATAACTGATGTATTGATCTTAAGTAACAGGAAAATAATATGTCAACCAACATAAAGTCATAAAAATCGTTAATCGAACTTGGCCAAGGGATTAAGGTAACAAGTATACCAACCAAGTTTCATCAAAATCTTACCAGTCCATCAAAAGACACCATGCGGAAAGCAGTATCCGAGAGTGATTAGAGAAATCAGACTATCTGGTCACCGGAGCATCATTAAGTATACACGGATTATGCCGTTAATCGAACTTGGGCAAGGGATTATAGTAACAAGTGTACCAACCAAGTGTCATCAAATGTTGACCAGTCCTTGAAAAGATATCATGCGGAAAGCAGTATCAGGACTAACGGAAGGACGGACGGACGTAACTGATTTGAATATAAAGTTGGTGGGAAATAAAGATAGCGAAATTCGCAGAGATGCACACGAACCTCGAACACACCTTACGTGTTACGTACAATTAGAAAATGCTGACAACATAAAACCTTAATATGTTAAAACTGTAAAAAAAAAAAAAAAAAAAAGCACAGGTCATTACCGATATCCAGCGTTTATAATCACGTCTAAGTTACTGATAAGTGCTTACAAGTATCCTGACTACTACATTCGATTAAAACAAATTTTCACAATATTAACGTTTCCAAATATTTATTATTATCGATATGACAACAAAAGTAGAATATCATTGAAGAAACAGAAACTTAATTTAATTTGTGTCGAGAAAAGTTTTGCTTAATAAGTGTGAAGCAATAGTGGAAATGTGGATATTTGACACTGTTGAGATTTACTTGTATTGGCCCTTACCCTGATTGCACATGTTTCCCATCCATCCCTCTGTACATCCAGGTGAAGTACAAATACCGTTCATCCTATTACAGCCAAGTTTAGCACAATAACAGGTCTTACTACAGTCTCGCCCAAACTTCTGGAATTCACATTCTGTAAACATACAAAACACGCGCAATAGCTTGTTAATAAGTCAACATTATTTCTGCTAGTATTCTAATGTTTGCATAAAATATGCTTTATATTCTTCCACTTAAATATTGCCTTTCACATCTATTTTGGTAGCCAATTTAGAAAATGCGTATATCACAATGAAATGAAACACTACTTTTCAAAAATAGAAAATAACACTTTTATTGGGACTCATTGTTTTGCTCTATTGTATCGATCTATAAATTTGTATCGGAGGGGTGTTAGTCACTTGTGTGTATAATTTTCGAATTAAAAAGACAACGAGGTTTACCATAACCTGCATGCAACATTTAATTCATTCGAACAATGATACGGATCAGAATATACATTTCATGTACTTGGCATTATTCTTAATTATCTTATATATCTGATATAATGAATGTATTGAATTATTCGGACAGTTCCCCTCCCGATCTAGATTTTGACTTTTCTTTTGATGTTTGTCAGTCGCCTCCTATATTCAAAATTGAGGCCCATATCATCACTTACGAATTCGATAGGGACAAAACAGTTGTGTGAGGCTGTTCATTTTGTGACTCTACGGTATCTAAGTTTTAATTTGTATTACAGAGTGCTGTTGACCTATGTGTCTTTTCTATAATTCTTAAGACAACGAATTAAAATGTTTATCTTAATAAGTAGTGTGGTTTACTCTAATGATGCATAGGAAATGTCAAAACTTACTCCAATGTTAAATTCATTAGACTTCGATGCGAAATATCAGGTTGTTTTACCATTTGCTTAGTGGATAGTAAGCTTGTTTTTTATGCATAACTGGATGATTAGTCATGAATTTTGGTTTTAGATCGAGTGTTAAAACGACAAAATTAATTATATAATATCCAGTGTATGCATAACAAACAAGCTTACTATAACACACTATCCTATACCAAAACAATTTGGTCTAAAAACCTGCTTAATTTAGTTCGAAATGGCCCCTCACATTGTCTTAGCCAATTAAATCGCTCCTTTCAACTATTGATGACGCAGAAACTCTGTCCACTTTCAAGACAAGTTGTCATTTGTTTCGGGTTAAAGTATAAAGTGTTGCTTACATTGATTCCTGATATATACCTTTAACCCCGACATGTCTGTCTGTGGTAAAGGTATTTATTCACAAAGTAGATCGATTAAACAGCAGTGTGGAGAAACATCGACAAAAGATCATGACAGAAAACTCATCCGAAATTGTCAGTACGTTTCTTTCAAATGGAAATTGCGACTTATATGCCATTCTGTAAAGAATTATCCAGTAAAGGTAGAAGACAATTCTATGTGATATGATTTCACTTCGTTGTGATATTATCAACTGAAATTGATTTCTGGATTGAGGTTATCGCCTATTGTAACGTTTATTGCCCTTATCGACATTCTGACATTAGCCTCACCTACTCACCAGAAGCAGAGAAAAGTGTATCAGAGTATGCCACAAAGATTAATAGAATAATCACCTACCCTGAGGGTGTGATAGAGAAATCTCCAACCCGAGGGGTGATTTTTGTTGTTGTCTAACCCCGAGGGTTGGAGATTTCTATGTCACATCCTCTGAGGGTAGGGGTTGATTATTTTTCTCCCACCCCATTATTTCTGCCACGACTAAAAAAAAATCGCACGGTAAAAGTGTCTGAATGGCACATGAATATCACCATTCACGATTCCAAAATTCTACATTCTTCCGCGAGAGCAAAATGACAGACTACAAACGCAATATGAATGACCATTAGAAATATTTATTCTTTGGAAATCAAATATTTTAATTAGAGATAGATACATAGAAATACTTGTATTGAACAACATTTAACTCTGTATCATTTATTAAGGTAGGGTAGGCTTGCCGCGATGTCATGGACAAAAAGGGGATTTCCCAGTTTATAATGACGTCAATTGTTTATGCGCGCGAAAAATTGCAATGGTGTGAGTGTCACGCGTGTGTTCATTCAAAATCAGAGTCATAGATGATCCTCCGACGTTTATTTGTGTTCACTGGACAAGGATTGTAATAGTTAATGTTAACTGTGATGTTACAGTCGCGCATTACGGAACCTGCAAACAAAGCATCCACTCGTCGGTTTGAGTAAGTTGTGATAGCCGACTGAGGTCACCGAGTGCAGTCATGTGGGATAGATTTATCCTCCATGGGTGTTCCACATGGGACATGTCTATCCTACATGGGCAGAGGTGGAAGAATATCAATATCCCCTTCCCATTCAATAACATATTTTAGTAATTCGTTATAACAAATTTCCTCAATGTTGATGTCGGCATTCTGCCTTAATCGGAAACATGACCGCAATCTTTTGGGTAGGGTCAGAAATCATGAGTATATTGTGGATTAGATGATGAAAATAATCCAATGAAAAAGAATGCGTTACATAACCATTATTTCATATTCATAAGCATATCATAACTGGTGATTTAAGCATTATCCAAATTTTAAGCCTACGAGAGCAGCTTTTTCATGAAGGTTCCAAATTGTCATGAAATCCTTTCCTTCAATTAAAATATGAAAACAATGCCAGAGAGTAAGGGGAACGGGAGCATGCTGTTTTGGATTTATTTTCTATTCGGTCCAACATCCTTAAAAGAAAAAAAACCCAAAACCGGAAATGAAAATAAAACAGCATTCCACGAACTTGATGTTAATTTTACACTTCAAGATCAACATGAAAAGGTATGTTATTGTGTCTGCAGACAAGGCGAACAATAAATGTATCCTTGTCTGTAGACATTATTATACTTCATGTATACACAAAGAACTAGACTGTCTTGATAACGAAGAAATCCTTACTATACAATATTTAATCATTTCAAAGAAGAAACACTTACTAAACATGTTTCAGTATTATGATAATTCAGATTGCATTCCTCCATTTCCTCTTATGAGACATTCAGCCCCAGAGATGTTAGATCAACCCTTTATACAAACCTTAGCAGCCGCCTCTTAGACGTCAAAATTTAGATCGTTAGCATTGTTTGGCTCTACTGTACCTAATTCTAAATTTGTATTTAAAAGATGTTATTTATTTGCTTTTAGTCCTGCAATCGTCGATATTTGATATCGCCGCCCTAGAAGGCCAAGACCTATCTACATAATAGATTCCTTATCACTCAAGGGTAGGTAAGACCGAATTGTGACAAAATCACTGCCAAGCGCCTGTCATTCCTTTGGTAAAAATGAATTTTAAAGACTTTGCTCTACTTCCCTTATTGGGTCTAGCTTTCCTGCCTCTTTGGTCGAAGTCTCAGTTTGTACAAAATTGAGTCCCCGTCACCAAAGATGACACCAACCATTTGAGTCTTTGTCATTTCAAGGATGTAATGTAAAGAACCATATGGCGTATTAGAGAGCATTAAACAAGTCAAACTTCAATCCATAATGATATATTATATTCCCCCAAATGTCCCTGTAATACCTATCAGCATGCTACTCTCATACTCTGTGTCGCGAAATTGCGAGTAGAAGACATCCTGCATGAAAATCTTGAAACAAGTAACAGGCCTTTTGATTTCGAATCAACTGCGACATATAAGCATTAGGAATAAAGATGCAGGTATGTCGCTATCCAAGGATGGGAAAAAACAATCATAATAATTTGAAATTGAAATCATCGCGCTTATCATATAACTTGGTGGAAAGCTGACCCTATTTGTTTCATTATGGAAATTATCGAGGTAACCAGAACCTGTTTTTCGTCCTTTGTGTTTCAACTGAGATGATATATATGATGAGCATGACTCATAAATTTCTTGTTTCCAAAGACATGACATCATTTACATATTTGGAAAGGAAATTGAAGGACTTTGCAAGATTAATGCGGCCATGAGTAGGGTCAGTTTGCTTCTGTAGATATGTCAAAAGTCTGTTGGAAGATATTATTACCAAACTGTGCGGAGATCTTATGAACCTGAAATTGGATGAAATTATTTATGTTTCAATATAACTTATATCTTCTTTGAA